TCACCATATGCGAAAATTAACTCAAAAAGGATTAAAGACTTGAATGTAAAACCTCAAAGTATAAGTAAGGATCCTAAAAGAAAATATAGTAGACACCCTTATGCATATTGAAGTAGGCCGTGAATTCTTTACCAAGTCCCCAAAAGCAAATGCCATAAAAGCTAAGATGGGCAAGCGAGACCTAATCAAACTAAAAAGCTTTTGCACAGAAAAATAAACCATCAAGAGAGCAGGGAGACAACCCACAGAATGGGAAAAAACATTTGCTAATTGTGTATCTGACAAAGGTCTAACATCCAGGATATCCAAGGAGCTCAAATGAAGTGAAATGAAAAAAACAAATCCATTAAAAAATGGTCAAAAGATATGAACAGATACTTCTCAAAAGATGACACACAAGCAGCCAACTGATACAAGAAAAAATGCTCAGCTTCATCATCAGAAAAATGCAAATCAGAACTACAGTGAGATACCACCTAACTCTGGTAATGATGGCGACCATAAATATGTCAGCAACAACAATAACAGATGCTGGCATGGGTGCAGAGAAAAGCGAATGTTTCTACACTGTTGGTGGGAGTGTAAGTTAGCTCAGCCTCTATGGAAATCAGTGTAGTGATTGCTAAAGGAACTAAAAATTGACCTTCCATACGACCTAGCCATTTCTCTCCTGGGAATATACCCAGAGAACCATAAATCACTCTACAAAAAAGATACCAGCACACGCATGTTTATTGCTGCCCTATTCACAATAGCAATAACATGGAACCAACTATGCTCTCCACTTAAAATGGAATTGAATAAAGACAATGTGGTACATTTACCAGATGAAGTATCACGCAGCCATAAAGAAGAACAAAATCACACCCAGCTAGGTTTTTATTTTTATTGGTTTTTTTTTGTAGAGATGAGATCTCACTATGTTGCTCAGGCAGGTCTGGAACTCCTGGGCTCGAGCAATCCTCCTGCCTCAGCCTCCCAAAGTGCTGGGATTATAGGTGTGAGCCACCACATCAAGTCTAAAATTTTAAATCTTTAAAAAATCATTTTGACATCTTTCAGGTATATAAATGATGTAAAAAAAAAAATCACACACGTACTTGTTACCAAATTTCAAAAATGAATGAATCATAACAAATACAGTTGGAATGTATGTGCTCTTTTCCTAGCACCAGGTCCCTAACTAGTTCTTCTCCTAAACTTTGTGTTTATGCCTTAAGACCTTCACTATGTACCCCTAAACTATAGAGGTAATTTTAAAAGTTTAAACTGTAGGTGTTCCTTATATCTATTATATTTATCATTCTGCACTTTGCTAATTTGTCCTATATTGTGATTTTGAAATGCACATGTCTCAATTTAATTTTTCTTCTTTTTATGATTGTAGAATCCCAGTGCAGAATGTGAGTCAATGTATTTATTGGTTCTTTTGTTTATGAAAATTGGGTTCATTCCTTCCCTGTTTTTACTATTACCCAAAAAAAATCTGCTGCTATAAAAATCCTTTAATATTGATTTTTATAAGTATATGTATATTAGTCAGAATAGTCTCTTAGATGCTACAGTAACAAACAACCCCTAAATCTCAGTGACTTAACGCAGTAAAAGTTATTTTTCACTAAGGCTACAAATTCAACGTGGGTCTTCGATAGGAGGACGGGGGGTACTCTATTCCACATCAACCTCAGAATCCCAAGATGAAAGGAATTTCCCCCAACTGGTTGCTGCACTGTCAGTGTTATATAACCTTTAGTTGGCAGAAGCAGGTGAGGAAGGGTGGAAAACTCACACCTGTTTCCAATGCCTTGGGTCCAACTGTCTGATTCCAGCTATGAAAAGCAGTTATTCTGTGCTCTCAGAAAGAGGGAATAGGCTGCAAGTCTTTAATCCAGGTATGAGGGTTTCACTGACAAGATTTCTATGCTGGGTTATAGGCTATGCACGTCTTCAACGTTAAAACTAAATTTCTCAATTTTTGTGAAAAAAAATTTTTTTTTGAGTTGGAGTCTCACTCTGTTGCCCAGACTGGAGTGCAGTGGTTGCTCCTGGCTACCGCAGCCTTGACCTGCTGGGCTCTGGCGATCCTTCTGCCTCAACCTTCCAAGTAGCTGGAACTACAGGCACGTGCTACCATGCCCGGCTAATTTTTTGATTTATTGTAGGCATGAGGTCTCGCCAAGTTGCCCAGGCGGGTCTCGAACCCAGAGCTCAGGCAATCCACTCACCTCTGCCTCCCAAAGCGCTGGGATTACAGGCTGAGCCACCGAGCCCAGCTTGAGAAATTTAAAAGTTGTATAATGTTTGGTAGGTGTTCTCTTTGCTACATATCTTGTCAATACTCTGTATTGTCCTATTAGCTAACCTTTTTTAGTCTGGTGAATATGAAATAATATATGTGGATTTAAAATGCAGTTCCCTAACTGCTAGTACAGGTAAGCATCTCTCCATATGCTTATTGCTGATCTGCGTTTCTTGTTTATGAGATGCTTATTCATATCTTTTTATTATTTTTCTATGTTTTGGCCCTTTTCATATTTATTCAAATAAAATCTTTACATATTCTGAAATTGACTTTTGCTAGTTTCATTTGTTATGAATATTTTGCCCCAAGTTTTTCCTTGATTTTTCACTATCTCTATGGTGTCTTTTGATAAAGAGAATTATTTAATTTACATCAAGTCGAATTTATCAATATTTTCTTATATAATTTGCATACTTTTGGTTTGTTTATGAAATTATTTTCTATCTCACAGTTATAAAGGAATTCTCTTATGCTGAAGATTTTATAGGCTTGCTTTTCATTTAAATCTTTACTTGGAATTAGCTGTTTTGTGTACGATCATTATATTTTGATTTTTAAGGAGAGAGAATTTTCTTAGATCAATTTTCTCATATTGATCTGCAGTGTCCCCTCAGTACTGTGCTAGTTTTCATGTTTATATGAAAGTTTTCCAACTTTTTTCTCTGCTGCATCATTGGTCTATCACTGTGACAATTACATATCATGTTAATTTCTTCTTCTTTTTTTTTTTTTAAAGAACATCTTGGCTATTTTGTGCTCTTTTTAAAGGTACATTTTAGAATGAACATATATGAAAAGATCTATTATGATTTTGATTAGAATTACAATATATTCATAAAGCAGTTTGGGCAGATTTCATATCTGTAACAGGCAGAATTCTAACATTGATGCTCCTCCCACAACTGTTGCTCTTGTATAATCCTATGAATATGATCATGGGTGAAACCTGTGAATATGATGATGTATTACTCCCTTGATTATTTTATACTGTAAGACACAATTGACCTTAGGTAAGGAGAGTATCTAAGTGGGTCTAATCTAAACATGTGTGATCTTTAAAAGCAGAGCATTTTGTCCACCTGGTAACAGAAGGAAAAGTCAGAGAAATTTGAAGCCAGAAGAAGATTCGTTATGCCATCGCTGGCTTGGAAGATGGAGAGGTGCGTATTCAAAAACCAGAGTGGTTTCTCGTAATTACTGGGAGTGACCCCCCAAATAGCAGTCAGCAAAGAAAAAAGGGCCTCAATCCTGCAGCCACAAGGAATTGAATTCTATCAACAACACGAACAGTTTGGAAGTGGATTCTTCTCAAGAGCCTCAAGATAAAAACTCAGTTTGGTCTACACATTTATTTCAGTCTTATACACCCCAAGTAGAGACCCAGCTGGGCATACCTAGACTGCTCACCCACAGAGCTATGAGCTAACAATAGGTGTGACATTAGGACATTAATAAAATGAATAAAACCTCTATGATATAAAAGTCTCTAAGAATGAGGCATATTATTCCATTTATCTGGATCTTTTAAAATAAGGTTTTATATTTTTCTATATGTGTGACCTCATATTTTTAGAAAAATTTTTGCCGCCAAGGTGAATGTTGCTTTACTGATTCATTTTTTGCAACTTGGTTGATTATTTCTTTCAAGCAATACATATCCAAAATTGTTACCACTAGCATGTTCTATTTTTATAGTATCTTTTTTCTTTCAGATGTTTTTGATTCCTTCTCTTATTTTAAAAAATATTTTAGACATGCTTATTTTATATTCTTGGTTTATAATTCCACTGGGGAAGATGTATTTGGCTTTATTGGTTCCCCTGACTCTCACTGACAGTGTCTTGTCTTCTCTTATTGAACTGTGATAGATATTCAGAGATATTTTCTCTTTATGACCTGAGTCAAGTTTGCACTTTCCTAGAGAAGATTTATAATCTTTTCTGCCAGGCACTACAGTGCCTGACCAACCTAGGATCACTTTATTTATATTTGTAGTCGGAGTTTCTCAGAGTAAACCCTAAACCCAAGAGAAGGCAGGTCGAAAGCTACGAATTCTCAGAGTAAAATTCTCTCTTCATTATCAGAGTCCAAGGTAAGATGAACAACCTTCATTTTATTCTTCCTTTGCCAACAGGTAATGTGTGTGTGTTTACTCTTTCACTAACTCTACAGCCTCTCCACATTCTGAATTGATGCAGGAATTTTTATCTCATGCAAACCAAAGACCCAAACTTCTCGGTTCCTGACACCGGAAAAATCATATGACATTGGCAATAGTCTTTTAGTCTGGATTTGGTGTCCTCTTCACTGTGTACACTTGAGAATTTCTCTTACTTGCAGGTGAATTTATTTAAACATTTAAAAGAAAATTGGTTATTTTACTCAAGCAACTTTATTTTTTTACGAGCACATATTACACATATATTTGTGTATATGTATACATATTTAATTTATGTTTACACATAGATTATCTGTAGAAATGTATGTCTATGTGTATATAACCATACATGATAGCCATATATAAATATGTTAGTATATTCAAGAATAAATATATATCTTTTAAATGTGTGGAGTGACATGTGAACATCATCATGGCAGATAGGAATGATCTAATTTGACATACTAACCTTTATTCCAAAACATGACTTCTGACACAATTAAAACAAATAAAAGTGGAATTTTATAGCTGGAAAGTTACCTGTATGGTCCCTGTGTTCTTTCCTTGTTGGGATTCTGTGTCCCAGTAAGAACTTCAAATGATATGAGTAAGTGTTAGTAAAGATGACTCTTACTATTTCACCAACATAATTTGCTGTAAATTCTTTAATACTTTCTTCATCTGGAAATTCCAAGACTTCTTTGCCTTTTATTTCAAGAAGAAAATATAATTGTTAGTTACTAGGAGACACAACTTCAGGATATCGGGTTCAATTGCTTTTACTAAAGTTCTTTATGGGAATATAACAAAATTAAGTGTTAACTTTGAGAAAATCAGCCAGACTAAATGGTTGGCTAGGGAGAGATATTTCTAAAGTTCCTTCTAGATATAATCACAAAGTATACCTGAAAATTAGTTATTTTATTTTCATGTGTTGTGGTTACTGAGCCAATTTAATCATATAAAATATCACACCACACCAATTGCACTATTCACAAAAGAATTGGAATTCTTATAAATCTAAAATGGTAGACAGAGAGAGATTAAATAGATATTAAAACTTAGCACTGGTTTATACCAGGTGGAAATGGCTATAAAAGTTTTTTTTCTTTTGCAACCCTGGTTAATAAGTTAAAAAAGAAGTGAAATATTTAAAAATATGTCAAGTGCCTATGTTGACATCGTTATAAAAATCCATCTCTTCTTTAGATAGTGTGTTTTATGCCATGTATATTTTTTTTCAGACGTAAACACCTGGAAAAGATGCAAAAAAAAAGTCCCAGATCAGGGTAGAAGTGTTGAATATGAGGTGGAAGGAGCAGGCAGCATATATTTTGCTAGAACTGAATTTTATTCCGGAGTCTTTTCCTTAACTCAGTGTCATCGTGAGCAAGTCATTTAATCTTTGCTACTCAATTCCTGTATTTGTAAAGTGAACTTAATATATATTACTATTAAAGAATATTAATAGAGTACAAAATAATTTATAGAGAAAATTATGATTATTACAAAATAATATTCTATTGCCATAAAATAAAGTCTCTGTAAAAAATATCACACATTGTAGTATTTCATGAAGCTTTATTATCATATTGAGTGCGGCTTTGAATGAGGATATGGTTCAGAAGCACAAGTTCCTGACCACAAGCCCTCAGGGGTCACCTGTGAAACAGAGGGTAAAAGCAAATGTTTCTCAGAATAGTTTAGGAGACCAGGCCTTAGGTGGACAGCTAGGATCAGATGATAATCTAAACTCGGAAGTGGATTTGTGATGGTAGGTAAGATGCACAATGCACACAATCAAATTCAGGGGTAAGTAATGGTGTGATGGTTGGTAAGGTGCCACGGGAAGGCAAGTTTGGGATGATTCCATCCAGCCCAGCAGTGTGTAGTAAGGCATAGACAAGGAGGAAAAAATCCAATGTAGTCTGGACACTGGCCATACAGACTCCAAATAGCAAGTGCCTGAACAAGGCTAGAGAGAAGTAGACTTCTGGATTTTGAATCCAATGAAAGGATCAGAATCCAAGCAGAAAATTAATGACGACCTGGGCTGGAATAGAATTATGGACAGAGCTTGACAAAGAAAGAAAAAAGAAAAAAGAGGCCATGAAGATTTCCAACTGCAAGGAGCAAAAGCCATAGGTTCCCCTACAACAAAGCCTTTGGTGGGAATTATGTTGCTTATAATTAATACTCAGCACCTTTCAAGTCAAACTTTTATATTCTGCTTTTAATTGGGATATAATTCACATACTATAAAATTCATCCTTTTAAACTGTACAACTTCACAGTTTTTAGTATATGCATAAAGTTGCACCAGCTCTAAGTTACTTTAAAATTATAATTCAACTTACATAACTCAGTGTGTCAAATGAAATTTCACTTTATATCCAACTGTCACGTTGGATTTGAAGGCGCTGTCAGATACTGACATTCTCTAGGTATAGCCTGTTGATGAGAATCCTCTTCTTATTAATTAGTGCAATTGACTTTCCATTGACTGAGTTTGGAGCAATCCACAAAATAATGCTTAGCCTCCTGTTAACTTTATTAACTAATAAAGTGCTAGCATTATTACTTGCAGTCATCTCATCTGGTTACAGCTAAATCATTGTGCAGAAAAATCAAGCCCACATGAATGTGGGTCTGATCCAACAGGATCCTGCCATTCTCCATAAAATTCTTCTAGTAGCCGTTACATTTTTACTATTCGATTTTAGAACTCTCCCTTTTATTGCCATTACCATGAGTGTCTAAAATAAACAACTTAAAACTTATAATCACTATAGTGTTAACTGTAATCTTTATCCTAGCCCTAGGCGTAACCTAAGAACAAATTATGGGCAATCACCACAGAGTCCCCTTAGATGTGTGCATTTATAGTTGCAAAAGACACGTGTTGCTTTTGTGTGCTGATGCCCAGTTCTTCTTCTTGTAAAAACACACTAAAATTCATTTGGCAGATTGCCCCTTCCCCATTCATATACCCGCAGCTTGGATGTGGTTCACAAATGATGTGGGAACCCAGTCAATGGACGATGACAGTAACACGTTTTCCTATTTAAGGACATTAGTTCTTGGTGAACCATGACCAAAACTAACCTAACCTCACTTATTTGTTCCAGTGGGTACAATTACAGAAATTATTGTAAACTATCGGGAATGATACATAATCCTTTCACTGGAGTTACTTCTCTGGCAGGGCTTAAATTGGAGAGTCTACAGACCAACTCTGCCTCTGGGACAGCCAACCTGTGAATGAAACCATCACACAAGGCCATGGACCTGAGGGGCAGAGATGTCTTCTTCCTCCCTTGTTAATAAACCTCTGTTCTACCTTGCATCGATACTTTGCTCCTTTAAGCTAGACAAAAGCTTCTTTTTCTTATGACAGGTTGAGTTGAATTTCTGACTTTCCACTGAAATATTTATGAAAAATGTAGTATTGATTTTTTTTTTTTGAATTGGAATCTCATTCTGTCGCCCAGGCTGGAGTGTGGTGGCATGCTCACAGCTACCTCAGCGTCAATCTGCTGGGCTCTGGCGATCCTTCCACCTCAGCCTTCCAAGTTGCCAGAACTAAAGGCGCAGGCTACCACACCTAGCTAAATTTTGATTTGTTGTGGAGATGAGATCTCACCAAGTTGCCCGAGGCGGTCTCGAACCCCAGACTCAGGCAATTCACTCGCCTTGGCCTCCCAAAGTGCTGGAATTACCGATTGAGTCACCGAGCCTGGCCTGATTATTGTAAACTAGACAACCTACTGATCATTGTACAAAAGGTCTTATTTCTTTCATCTAACTGTAGATTAATATCATTAATCTTATTTTGCATGTAATGATAACAGGCTCAGAGAAGTTGATGGTTTGCAAAATGTATTATGGCCACAAATGTATTATAGTAGTTCTAGTAAATTCTCAGAACTAGTTTGAAACTGATGTCCTCTGACTTGAAGTCTGGTCCTCTTGCCTTTGCATCAGGCTGCATCTCCTCTAATTTGAGGACATTGTTACAGAAAGGATCTTGATAATAATAATTTTCCTATTTTTTATGAATAAGTAACTTACCACTGAAGGATGAAACTGGAAGCACAGAATACTCAAAAGAATCTTCAAATATAATAAGAACATCTTTGGTATTAAAAGTTAAGGATACAATTTCTAAATCAAAATTTTTTTAAAAGACTGTTTATTGTCTTTAATAACAAGCAAACACTAGAGCTATCATTTCATTCTGGTAACAATGCTTTCAGGCTACATGTCAACATGTTCCTAAACATTACTGCTTTTAGTGTGCACCAATTTGTGTATTCCATGCTTCCCCAAACCTTATCCAAGACCAACAGATTTCCTGTTGAGAGTCTGTGCACTATACATTTAGTTTTAACTTTGACCTCAAGAGTGGTGTCTTATTTCCAATAGAGGGAAAGTGCATTCACATTTTACATAGTCTAGAAATTTTGACAATTGACAAGATTTGTCAACAGAAAGGCAAATTAAATAAGCAAATATTGACATCAGACACTCATCTTAAGTTGCTAGAAAACTCACCTGCCAGGAAGGAAGCAGAGGCTACTTTGTTCATTATCTGCTGGGTTGTGTTGGTGACAGGTGTGTATGCAATAGAAAATCCAGATTCATTAAATGAATCTACTCGCCCCAGGTCCATGGTAGGCAGTGAAGAAAAATCATTAACTTGATGTCTATGAGGATATATGTATAAAAAAAGTAGTAGGAACAATGAGTTCATCCATTCCTACAGAATCCCAAAGAAAGGATAAAGAAAAGTGTGATTTTAAATTAGTAATTCACAGTCATTTTGCCATAGAGTTTGTCTCTTTGTGCATTTTTCTAATTTCAATATATCCCATATTATGCTGAAAATATGTGCCATACAAATTCAGCGGTTTGAGTAATTTTAATGAGCTACTAATAGGAATTCAAATTTATTAAGCCTCAGTGCCAGTACCAAACATGCACTGATTTGAACAAAACATGAGATACAACGGTGGCAAGCTGTTTTAAATTATTATCTGCTAGTATTACCTTGGTGACACACTCATGATGTGTCTGATTCTGCTGAAAGTCTGTATGCTGTAAGAAATAATTTTAAAGCATAGCTTGCTTAGTAGAGATACATTGGTTACACATCAAAATTCTGGAATTAGAAACTTAGCAGAGCAAGTGACCTGAAAGACCCTGTCTTGGTTACTTAGTTATAAATCCCGGTCACTTGCAAACTCTCAATTTAAAAATACTTTATTTCCGAAATGCATGGTCTTAGGGACAAACTCACAATGCATATACAGTAGAATTTCAATTAAGTTAAAAACACTACCTATCTGTATAATCTTTAAAATATACCAAAGTTCAACCAAGATTTTTGTTATCTGGTAAGATTATAAAAGCTAATGTCAATTTTCTTCTTGGCATTTAATACAATGTCCACTTTTCCACTATTGTTTAAGAAAATAAGTTGTTTTCAAAAAGAGAACAATCCCAAAGAGAAAATTCCAGTTACCTATTGCTGTGGGTTGATTTGTTTACCATCTCTTTGGAATGCCAGTGTCTTAGCCCTAGTCTCTGTGAATGGAATCACTAGTAAAAAGTATGATCACTGACTTTTAAACATTTATGAATTGTTGACCAGCTTCAGTGTTTTTGGACCTCAATTGATGAGCCTATGTCAATTGAAATGTCTTCAAACAGATTCATGGTATGAAGACCAGTTTTTATGCATATAAAGATTTTTTTAGTTTCTTTAGTGTGTGGAGGGATGGAGATGTACAAGACAAGGTTCCTTCCAGGCAATACACATTTTCTTATCATAAATAAAAACTGACATAGGTATTGAATCATACCAGTAAGGACTCTCTTTTCATTCTCCATTTTTTAAGAAAGTTCTTGCACAATAAAGCCCACGTTTGTTGACACACACTGATCTCTCTCTTCTTCATTTTGCCCTGTTAAATGAAAAAGAAAGGAAGAAGATAAAGTTAATGTGAATTCGTAATAAGAAGAAATATCCTGCAAACAACAAAAGAGTAATCTAATACCCTCACTGCTCTACATGAGTGCTTAGAATCTGGGCGTTTCCAACTTAGCATTTTTTTACTCCCCTGATATCCCTCTGGTCCCACTTGCAGACTCTGTGCCATCATTTGTTTGGGAGGCACCATATCAGTTACAAATGATCATCTCTCAGCTGCAAATTAGCCTTCATAGCCTACTCTGTGAAAATGGACCTGAGTCTGTCAAGTACTTTCTTTTGACAGCTGGCATGATGTTATTCTGTCAGCAGAGGACTGTAGTGACAGGGCAGGGTGAAGAGGCTGTCTTTCTTGGTTTAGGGTGGTTCATATGCCAGTTTTCTATAGAATCTATTGCTCAGACTCAATGACTTTCTCCGCTGCAAGGTACCGGAAGGTACAGGTTTCACCGTGTGATTTTTCTGTCTCTTGATTTAGGGAGGAGTAATGTATCTGGGAGCTCCAGACAGCGAGAGCCCTTTGCTCCAGAGCTTTGTCTTATTTGGCTGTTTCATTGCAGAGGCAGTGCACTCCTGGCCCGTGCCCACCGTTTGCCTTTCAGTGGCCTGCAACCACACTGTATTCAACTTATTAACACTAGCTCTTCAACTTTGTTCCTTTTTGAATATTCTTCCTCAGTTCTAGGATACCCCTTTGAATGCACAATCTCTTAATGGTTGCCCCCAAAATTATTTAATCGTTCTCTATATCAAACTCTCTTTTTAAATTACGGTGTGGTTTCTGACTCCTGACTGCACACATGCACACTCACCGCTCTTAGTTTCAATAAATACATGCTTGTACACCCAATTTAACATCTGTCTAATATTCAGCTTGTTTAAGAACATGAATAAATCATCAGTTTTAGGAATTGACGTATCTAGGACAATTTAATGGGACATTTTGTTATTTCTAGCAGAAGTCATCACACTCTATGCTCGTTTGTTATGAGACGACTACAAAATTTCTTTTCCCTAGTAAAAGAAAACATGTTTTCACTTTTATTCATGAAAATTAGAATGTTGAGCTATGAAAGTCATCACAGTTTGACCTGGAAAATTGTAAAGAGAATTATATTTTAGAATGGCATTTATTTCTTATTCCCATCTTTAAAGGTTAATTTATGAGCCGGGTTTGGTGGTTCAGCCTGTGATCCCATGACTTGGGAGGCTGAGGTGAGTGGATTACCTGAGCCCGCAGGTTCAAGACCCGCCTGGGCAACTTGGCAAGACCTCATCTCTACAATAAATCAAAAAATTAGTTCCAACTACTTGGAAGGCTGAGGCGGAAGGATCGCCGAAGCCCAGCAGGCAAGGCTGCGGTGTCCGGGAGCAGCCACTGCACTCCAGCCTGGGTGACAGAGTGAGACTCCAACTCAAAAAAAAAAAAAAGTTAATTTGTGTTTATCAACAGGCATGGTGGCTCATGCTTGCAATCTCAACACTTTGGGAACTTGAGACAGGAGGATTGCTTGAGCCCAGGAGTTCAAGAGCAGCCTAGGCAATGTAGGGAGACCTCGTCTCTATGAAATATCAACAAAATTAGCTGGGTGTGGTGGCACTGGCCTGTACTCCCAGCTACTTGGGAGGCTGAGGAAGAAGAATGACCTGAATCCAGGAGGTCCAGGCTGCAGTGGACCATGATTGCACCACTACACTCCAGCGTGGGTGACAGAGTGAGACTCTGATTCAAAAAAAAAAAAAGACTTTAATTATGTTTATTATGTAAAGGCATTGCAAAGTCACAGGAATACACACACACACACACACACACACACACACACACACACACACACACACACAGTTTTTCTTTCTAAAATAACTGTAGCAATTTGGACTATGATGAGAAGTATTTGAAAATTCACCTTTTCTACATGCTCACCTATAATGATAATGGTATGGTCATTCTCTATAAGGTTTCCTAGATTTTCCTTTCAATTGTTTTTTTTTTAGTCAGTGCAATGGCATGTTCACTGTCAACACAGCCTCCACCTGCTGGGCTCAGGGCATCCTTCCACCTCAGCATTAGAATTACTTAGAATTGTAGCTGGAACTACAGGCATGAGCTACTATGCCTGACTAATTCTTTTGATTTATTGTAGACACGAGGTCTTGCCAAGTTGCCCAGGCTGGTCTCGAACCCCTAGACTCAGGCAATCCTCACACCTTGGCCTCCCAAAATGCTGGGATTATGGGAGTGAGCCACTGCGCCCAGCTTGCTTCCCCGCTTTTGCAATTCTTCAGTGCAGTTGTAATACACAGGATGATCTGATTCTAGAAGGCTGGTATATTGCTGATAGAACCTCTTGAGGCTGATGTCTCTGAGGTGATGATGGGCTGGATTATTATTGCTGTTAATTGACAAAGTTCAATTAATTAAGAATGGTTGGGTTACTTGGTTGCCTATTTCAATTTGATTTTATTCTGGCCACTTTCACTGCAAAAGTATTCATCACATCTGGTTTTATGAGCATGAATTGTAATTTAAAATATCTATACCTAAAAATACTTCTTAAAAGCCTATATGTATACATGCATTTTTCCTTCTATTTTTTAAGCTTTTTATTAGTTCATCTTGCTAGAATTTTGAATTTATTACTTTTTTCGGAAAGCACCAATATTGCTCTTTGATCATTTTGCTTGTTCTTGATGTTTTTTATTTTATGAATTTCTCTTCTTACTTCTTCAGGTTTGCTGATACTATTTTTGAGATATTTGTTTGGCCAGTTTCCCCCTTAGCTTCTTGAGCAAAATAGTGGACTCATATTAGCATAGCAGCTGAAAACAGGGGTTCTGGAGCTGTGTGGGCGATCCTGCTGGCCAATTGATTGCCTCGGTAGTCCTATTTCTTCACCTCTGTTTGTGTTTACATCCGTTGGTAATTTGGGACTTCCTCTCATAAAGGCAGGCTGTTACTTGGGCCAATAGAAGGAGGCAGGAGGGATGAGGTGACAGTTGTGAGCATGGAGATTTCGAGGCCTTGAGTGTGTCTGCCTGCTTTTCTGTGGCGCTTGCACTGCTGTGAGGGCAGACCTGACCTCACCTGAGGAAGGATGGAAGGCACGTGGAATAAAGCTGCACCATGCTGGCCATCCAGGTGGGCGTGACAGCCGGTCAGTCCCAGAGATATGATTAACCTCTCCAAGACCAGTAGTCTCTTGGGAACAGCCACAGACATCACAGCTGTAAATGCTTACTGCTGCGTGCCATTTGTTGCTGTTGTTTGCCAGGCACATAAAGGCAGCAGCAGACCACAGATACACGTTAGTCAGAATTGCCTTTTTTAACGCCTGTGATCTTGAGGTTTCTTTGTTTTTAGTGACATTTTATTTTTGATCTCTTACAATTGTATTTTAGCCACAGAATTGACCTTTCTTTAAAATCCCTTAAGGCTTCCTTGGTGGTGCACCTTAAATTAATATTTGGGACCGGGCTCAGTGGCTCAGCCTGTAATCCCAGCACTTTGGGAGGCCAAGGTGAGTGGATTGCCAGTGCCCGCGGGTTCGAGACTCACCCGGGCAACTTGGCAAGACCTTGTCTCTACAATTAAAAAAATTTAATATTTGGAAGTATTTCATGTGCACTTGAAATATTTTCATGTCACTATAAGAAAGGGATTGGCAGTAGGGGGAAACTGCCAGGGAAGGGGGGTGGGATTGGCGGCTGAGGGAAACTGCTAGGGGAAGGAGGGGCACATCTCATCAGCAAGGGTACCTGCATAATCAACGTATGTATACCTAACCCTGAATTGTACCCCACATCTTAAAAAATATATATATATGCATGTCACCATTTAGGTTTTGTATATATCTATTTAATCTTTTTGTGTTCTTCAAATCTTAGCATCCTTTCTAATGTTATATTTACTAACTCAATCACTTCATAATAGAGTTCAATGAAAATTATTCACTCTAATAATAAGTTTGACAATTTCTTGTCATATCTCTGTTAGTTTTTAGCATGTATATTTAAAGTCTAGGTGGTTGAGTGCATAAAACATTGTTCTATTACTCATGTTTCAATGGTAGGCTGTTCTATTTCTGATAATAACACAGAGACATTAGGTTTCCTTAGGCTGATATTTGCCTGATATGTCTTTATCTATCTCTTTATTTTTAATCTTTTGCTAAACTTTAAAAAATTTTATTAATGCATGCAAAGCTCATAGTTACTTTATGAATAGAAATCTAAATTGATAACCACATATTGAAAGATGAATTATGTTATGTATGAATTTTTGTATTGGATTATTTCTCACTGGGTCTTAAGTTGAACCTGCTTTTTCTTTGCTTGTAGTTTTCTCTACATTCTTCTATTGCATTGATAACATTTTCTTTCCCTTCCTCTGTTTCCTCTCCTGTCCCAAAGATATGAAAGGCATATAGATTCCTTTAATATTTGCCCTTAAATTTTGAACTTTTCTAGGAAACTATAACTTATTTTATGAAAGCTCAACATTATGTATTAGTTATATCCTCTTTTTAAAAATAAATGCCTTTTAAATATTTGAACACTCTGATAAATTCCAATCTGATCATTGTCGTTACTATTATACAGAAATGTGGTTCCATTTTTAATTTAAAGTACATACAAAGTAGGTTTACTTTAAACATCAATCATTTATTAAATTTTCCAATGAATTATGTGTTTCTGTGGTGGAGGTTGTGATATATTTGGACTTATGCTTGAGGTGGAGTGTAGACGTTCCACTTGAACTGTACTTGGATTGACTTTAACTGAGTTAAGATTCCAAACATTAGTTCATTGTAAAAACATCCCACAGGTTTTCCCTAAAGTTGCCTACAGAGAGCAGTCTTATTCTTCCACAGATATTGCATCAGTAACCAGAGAGCAGAAGTACAGTAATAGACCACCTCTCCCCCTGGAAGGAACAGCAAATCACAATTTCAGCATATTCAACTTTGAGCGATAAGTATAACATGAATGTGTGTGTGAGTGTGTGTGAGTGTGTGTGTGTGTGTGTGTGAGTGTGTGTGTGTGTGTGTGTGTGTGTGTAGGGAATGATTTAGTAGAAGGATTTATACATACATTTTATTGTAGCAAGGACACAAAATACCTCCCAGAAGGAGATGCCTCAGTGCGTAATAATAATACCACATCTTTCTATAACCCCGACCAACAAATACTACGAAATGTAATTTGCTGAACCTCTCCCGAAAACTGTAGGATTTGAGTACTCTTAAAAAGTCTGCCCTGTGAGAGAAAGCCAGGTTTCTAAGCTGAGTCATAGAAAGTAAAGAGATTCTGGAATAAATAATCATAAGTTTTCTTGAAAGCATGCCAGGGATGTGACTTGGCAGAATGGATCAAGGCTTTTGGGCACCAAGTTGGCAGCCCCACCCTGAAGTCTGTCATTTGGTTCTTGAGTCCTGACTTCTGAAGTGAGTGATCTCCTTCTGTCCACATGCCACGTTGGCCCACAGTGGACAGCACTTGGTTGCCATGAACTCCTCCATAGTGATGAGAAGTGTGTGTGCCTCCAACTGAAGCCACCATCCCATTCATGGGACAGGGTCACACTCAGTGCTGTGCTACTTCCTAGAGTCAAAGCCAAGGTAAGGTGTCCAGGGGCTCCTTGCATGGGAGGAATAGAAGCCACAGCAGTCTTAGAGAGCTTTGCCCGAGGAGGAACCTATAAGAGGCAGCAAGAAGGGAATGAGAGGCGAGCCAATGTAGAAGCAGACCAAATAATGAAGTGAGAACGCCCATGGGAAGAGAAAAGGAAGGAAAGTCAGTTCCAAGAATAAAATAGCATAGGTCAGGTGTTCAATGCGAGGGGGCTGAGGACTCCCATAGGTTATCTTAGTGCAGAAAATTTGGTGTGGACACGTCTAAGGGGACCATGAGAGGCTGCTTGGGAGGGTCAATTGGCCAAGAAGGTAATCTTGATGCAGCCTCAGGTAACATGGAAACTTCAGGTTGACTCCAACCCCTTATATTTTCCTTTGTAAATTAGCATTGCCTACTTAATTTCTCCCCAATTTGTGCATGTGATTCTGTAGTTTATAGAGATGAACAGCACAACTTCCTTATTATACATATGGCAAATTGTTTCACATGTAATGACTCTGATTTTTTCTTCTCTCACACTATTGTAAAGTTCAAACAAAATGTTTACACTATAGAAGCATGAAAGTTCAGTTTACTACAGACAATACCCATTTGAAATAATATTATGATAAGGAAAGCCTATATATTTCACATTCTGATTCAACTCATCATAGCCAATAAGTAAAAGAGCTTGGAAAGCATCTTACATTTCTAAAATTCATATAGCCTGAAAATGACAGCTAGGGACAATAAAAATATTTCTGTAAATGTTCTTAGTAAACAGTCTCAGTCAGAAAACATCACCCAAAATGCCCTAAAATTATTATGCAACAAAACAGACAGACATTAAGTAGATAACATTAGCTTCTAAAACAACCCAGCCTTACAAAACAATTATCAAAATCCTAAGCTCTTTAAATTTTTTAGCCAATTTCAGCTTATCCTTACACTTTGTTTCTCATTCAAACAATATAATAGCTGCATAATTAAAAAACACATTTTAACTTAATGCTTTCATCTTTCTAATATTAAGCACCAGTTATTAAAAAACTTCAAACAACCCATTACTTTTCAAAAGAATTTCCCAACAGATTGTTGACATTCAGTTCATGAAGACTTAATAATAATTTTGAGATAGGAATAAGAACAGAGAAAACATACAAACAAAACAAAACAAAACAGAAAAAATACACAACTTACTTTGAGAAAATTGAAACCAGTAACCTAGAAGTACAGACCTTCTTGTTTAGAAGAAAATGCTTCCCATTTTTTCCCCGGTCTCTACCACATCTCTAGAATTTGCTTTAACTGTTTGACTTCTGTGAAAAGTTTCTGTGAAGATGGCTTTCAGAGGAGAGGTTGTGATCTCAGTGCTGTTGACCCTGCCAAATATCACATTCACGTGATCACACTTGGACGGTTTATCTTTTCATTAATATTCAGCCAGTCCCCGCAGTGCAGTGGCACTTAGCCTTGGTTGCCTGGCTGTATTGAATCATAAACAGCAATATTTGTAAGCTTTTCTCTGTTATGGCTAATATCCAAATGTAAAGCACTGTCTTTAAACCACCAGAAAGTAAACAGCTTAATCAGAGAAATGCTCTCCTCCCAACCCCACTCTCCAGACTGTTTACTTGACATCATCACTGAGGTAATTAATAGTTTTCCTTCCTTTTTCCCAGCTTTATCTTCATTCACGTCAGACTGTTTTCTACTTATTTTAACACATTGATTATTTGGAAGTGTGTTGTTTAATTTCCAAGTATCTGAAGTTTTTTGTTATCTTTTGGTTATTGATTTCCAGTTTAATTCTATTATGGTCAGAAAACATACATAGGTATTTTTGAATTGGAGTCTCACTCTGTCACCACGTTGGAGTGCAGTGGCATGCTGATGGCCACTGCAGCCTCGACCTACTGGGGCTCAGGCGATCCTTCCTCCTCAACCTTCCAAGTAGCTGGATCTACAGGCATGCATCACCATGCCCAGCTAAATTTTTTTGATTTATTGTAGAAGTGAGGTCTCACTAAGTTGCCCAGGCTGGTCTCAAACCCATGGGCTCAGGCAATCCTCTCACTTCGGCCTCCCAAAGTGCTGGGATTATAGGCGTGAGGCATTGCGCCCAGCCAGAAAACATATTTTAAATATCAAATTTGTTAAATCTTATTTTATGACTCAGGATATGGTTTATCTTGGTGAATATTCCATATTCACTTGAAAACTTATGTACTTTGTTATTGGTGAGTGAAGTATTAAATAGATGTCTATTAGATCTGATGGGTTGATGATATTACTCAGTTTTACTATTTTTTTTTTTTTTTACCAATTTTCTGTCTACTAGTGTTGATTACTGAGAGAAGTTGTGTTGATTACTATTGAAGATTTTAACTAAAATTACGAATTTTGAAAATTTCTTCTTTTACAACTATCAAGTTTTTCCTGGTGTATTTTGCAGCTGTTCTCTTAGGTGCATACACATTTGGGATTGTTGCGTCTTCTTGGTGAACTGACCCTTGCATCATCTTGCAATCCATCTCCACTTCTAGTAATTTTTTTTTTTAAGTTGGAGTCTCACTCCATTGCCCAGGCTGGAATGCAGTGGCACGCTCACAGTCACCCCTGCGTCGACCTGCTGGGCTCTGGCCATCCTTCCACCTCAGACTTCCAAGTAGCCAGAGCTATATATAGGTGCACACTACTACACCCAGCTAATTTATTGTAGAGACAAAGTCTCACCAAGTTGTCTGGGGTGGTCTCCAAACCGCAGACTCAGGCAATCCACTTGCCTCAGCCTCCCAAAGTACTAGGATTACAGGATGAGCTACCGAGTCTGGCCTCTAGTAACTTTTATGCTCTGAAGTCTACTATTTGATATTGATAATATAGCCATTCTTACTTTCCTGTGGTTATTGTTTTCATGGTATATATTTTCCGTGCTATTCATCTTCCTATATTATCTCTCTCTTTCTCTCTCACGTCAGACATGGTATCTGCTCCTAGAACAGATACATTATATTGAATCTCTCTATCTATCTGTATTTCTCTATTATAAATCATCTATCTATCAATCTATCTATCCATCTATACATTCATCTATATTTATAGATGGAGTCTTCCTATGTTGCCCATGCTGAACTCGAACTCTTAGGCTCAAGCAATCTTCCTGTTTCAGTCTCCTGAGTAGCTGGGACAACAGGTATGAGCCACTGCACCTGACTCTATATTGTATTTGAAGTGAGTTTTTTATAGACATATAGTAGAATCATGTTTTTGTTTTTTAAATTCAATCTGCCTATATATATATATATTATATTATATTATTTTTTTCATTGGTGTGTTCAAAGCAATTAAATTTAAAGTACCTATTGATATTTTTTGATTCAGGTCTGCCATTTTGTTATTTGTTCTCTGTTCCTTCTGGTTTTAATTTTTGCTTCCCATTTTCTGCTTTCTTTTGGGTTATTTGAACTTTGTTTTAATTTTCCATTTTAACTTGCTTATTTTATTTAACTATATCTATTTGTATAGTTATTTTCATGATTGCTCGGATTACAAAAAACACACTTGGAATTCTTGGGCAAGATGCCATCGATCTGGTTGGAATGTGAGAGTCTCTGCATGAGTGAGTGCACGAAAAAACTAATCTGCATCTGTTTGTGTGGGCAAGCGGGTGAGCGGTTGTCCAGCTAAGGGGAAACACGGGATCAAGCCCTCAGGTCCTCTGAAGAAACCGCTATAATTTGCCGCTGCTCTGAATTCAGCATTCACTGCATGCAGAAGGATTCACCATCTCGGGGACTTCTCATGGGAAAAGGCAGAAGAGATCAGCTGGCACCTGGACCATACCACCCGCTGCAGCAACAGGCCAGGCATGGGCAGCAGGGACCATGGAGAAAGACCGGGGATAAAATCTGGAGCCGAACCCTGACAGAGGACAAAAACACAGACTGCTGCCACTTTCTCTGTCCCTTGATTGGGCAGAGTTCTGCTTTATTTTGCCCAGTTCTGAGTTGCCTGCATCCTGATGGCCTATGTCCTGAGACCAAGGGGCGATCTCCTCACCCCTCTAAAAGCAACCATCCTTTGCCAAGCGAGGATACTTCAAGTGCACGCTTTGGAGAGACAGATACCCCACTCCCACCATGGACCAAACACAGACACATGCCATTGGAGTGGGAGACCTAGCTCCAGACAATTTGGGAGTTCTTTCCCAGGGAAAATCTGAAGTGAGCTGAACGCTGGCAGTGAAAGCTGTAGAGGAAATGTAGGGTGGCAGCCTGAGGCTGACTCCCAAGGAAGGAGCAGGGAGAGCCCACCCAGAGCCTGGATGGAGCTCCCAAACCTTGCCACCAGGTCCTGAGATCCAGAGACTGGAAACTGCTGGGAAGAGAGCAGAAGCTCCTGGCAGAGAAACTGAGCAGATTCCAATGTCTGGGCAGAGAAGTGCTCCAGGGCAGCCTATGTGGAACAGCAGAATTGCATCTTGAGACCAGGAGCCGATCTTTGAGTTGTGTTGGAGCTGCTCACTGTGACCCCAGAGAGCATTGTGCCCAGTGCACAAGCTCTGGTGGGTAACAGCAAATGCAGAACCCCAGGCAATCTACCCTCCTCCCTGAGCCAACTGCTGGGTGACAGACACAGACAGTAGAACTGCCTGAAAAGGAGGCTGGTGGCGATATTGGTTTGTTTGTTTGATTATCTTATTGGTGGCTTTGTTTGTTTCTTGGCTTTCTCTATTCTTCCCTTCTTCTGTGTCTCTTTCTTTGATCTTTCTCCACTTTGATGTGTGTCCTTTCTTTTCCTTTCTTCTCATTTCCCATGTTTCCCCTCCTTCTCCTCTCTCTTTTCCCTCTGATACTCTGTCTTGGACTCAGAGGCTCTACAAGCACACCTACTAGAAGGTCCTGTTGTGCAGAGATGGAGAGCAAGTCCCACATGGCCCATGTACCAGCTAGCAAATATTATGACCTGCCAACAGGTTCTGAATCCTTGCAGTCTCCTTCATCCTCTAATAAGTGCTCGAAAGTGTGAAGAGACAGCACAATGCTCGACCCCAGCCCTACTTCATAGTTGAACAAATCCAGAGCCCCAGCTCAAGGAAGGACAAAAGGTAGACCAGATATCAGAAGTGACTTCTTCTCCATTTTCCACTGAGCAAAAGAATTAAAGAGAAAGATAAGAGAACTGCTACAAATGAAGAAAAACTGCTGGTAACCAAAGCTACAGCAAAGAGTCAGTGCTAGAAAGAATATCTACTGGGGAATAAATAATGCAATCTCTAAGAATGACAGTACTCAGATGGTAGTTACAGAGATCAGAGAATTGTTGGAGAGAATAAATAAAAATCAAGAAATGCAAGGGCTAAAACTAAATGAAATTGCAACAAAACTGGACAAACTCAAGTGTACTTAGAAATAACAGAAATAAAGAACTCCAACCAAAAAATAAATAACAATATGGCAAGTATGGGAAGCAGAATTGACCAAACAGAAGAAAGAATCTCAGAGCTGGAAGACTGAAATATGGAATTAACCCAATCTATTAAAAATATAGGAAAAAAAAAAACCTCAAGAAGAAAGAAGAAACTCTCCAAGTAATGTGAGTTTTTTATCAAGAAAACCAACCTATATCTGATTGGAATACCTGAAATAGAAAAAGAAACAGAAAATACCCTAAAACAGCCAGGCTTGGTGACTCAGCCTGTAATCCCAGCTCTTTCAGAGGCTGAGGCGGGTGGATTGCCTGAGCCTGAGGGTTTAAGACCAACCCGGGCAACTTGGTAAGACCTCATCTCTACAAAAAAATAAAAAATAGCCGGGCATGGTAGCACACATCTGTAGTGCTGGCTGCTTGGAAGGCTGAAGTAGAAGGATCACTGGAGCCCAGAAGGTCAATGCTGGGGTGACTATAAGCATACATGCCACTGTACTCCAGCCTGGGTGAAAGAGTGAGACTCCAACTCAAAAAAAAGAAAGAAAGAAAGGAAGGAAGGAAGGAAGGAAGGAAGAAAGAAAGAAAGAAAGAAAGAAAGAAAGAAAGAAAGAAAGAAAGAAAAAGAAAATACCCCCAAATGAACATTCCATGAGGTCATTCAAGAAAACCTTCCTCATCTGGCCAGAGAAACAACTACTATAAAAGTATAGTACAAGAGATACAAAGAACCTCTGCAAACATCTTGTGAGTAGACCAACCCCTAGACACATAGCAATTCACTTACACAAAGTAGGTATAAAAGAAAAAATCTTTTTTTAAAAAAATTTTTATTTATTTATTTATTTTCTATTTTTAAAAAATATAATCAATATTTTTTATTATGATGTTGTGGGGTACAGTTAAGGGTTAGGTATACAGAT